TTACTCAAAAAGAAAATGAGATGTGTGTATCATATATCCCTATGCTACGTTTGTGCATTGTGAGGCCAGTTGGGGTGGAATTCATATCGGTGTCAGAATTGTCCTCTAGATGGGAAATATGAATGAAAGCAAGGGAGGAAGATAGTATTACCTCTGCCAAAAACAAAATATACACTCATTTACACCTCTCTCTGTATTTGTTTCTCTCAAGTAACACTTTGAAGTAGAAACAAAAACAGAAGTCCCTGGGAACAACAACAACAACAACAAAATTATATTTATAGAGCACCTTTCACGTCGGGAGGACATCCCAAAGCGCTGAACAGTCAGGTGTCGGGGCCCGAGCATGGGGGAGGGGTGGTGTAGGGGTGAGGGAAGGCAGAGAGGTGAGAGGGAGACCAAAGGTACGGTCGAAGAGAAGGTCTTGAGACCGGCCTTGAAGGAGGCAAGGGAGGAAGTGAGGTGAAGGGACCATGGGATGGAGTTCCAGAGTGTGGGGGCAGAGAGGCTGAAAGCCCAGTCACCGATGGTAGGGCGGGTTGGGTGAGAGACATGGAGTAGGCCGGAGCTCACTGAATAGAGGGAGCAGGCAGGTTGGTAGGGAGTCAGCAGGTCACCATCTTCTACCGCCCCTGGAAGAAGTTACCCCCTCAATCCCTAATCGCTGCCTTGGAGTCCTCTGAACTCCTCTCCCTCTGGACTTCAACCCTCACCGACCCCTCTTCTGCTCTCACCCTCCTCCACAACACCCTCTCCTCCACACTTGACATTCTTGCCCCTATCACCTCCCGTACTGTCTCCTACTCTCGCTCCTCCCCCTGGTTCACCACCCACCTCCGCTCACTGAAGAGCCAGGTGCGGGCCGCTGAACGCACCTGGGTCAAATCTGGCCTAACGGTCCACCGACAAATCTGGCTGGACCTCCTCAAAATCTACCGCTCCACTCTAGCCTCGGCCAAATCGTCCTTCTACTCCAGGATAATCCTGGAGGCGAAGGACAACCCCAGGCTACTGTTCTCTACCACATCCCAACTCCTCCGTCCCCCCCGCCACCTCGTGCAGGTCATCTCCTCCAACCTTCACTGCGAGGAGATGCTGGATTTTCTTGAATCCAAGATCAAGGGAATCCGCTCCGCGGTCACTTCCCCTCCAACATCCACCCACCACCTACCCCTTCCCTCCCACACTCCGACTCCTACCCATCCTCCCCTACACACCTTCGTACCCGTTTCCCCATCCTCTGTCACCAAACTCATCCTATCCCTGAAACCCACCACCTGCTCCCTTGACCCCATCCCCACTCCTTATCTCCCAGCTCCACCTCCTTGCCCCACATATCACAGACATCGTCAACCTGTCCCTCTCCTCTGGCTCTATTCCCATTCCCTTAAAAACTGCCACCATCACTCCCACCTTAAAAAAACCCTCCCTTGATGCGTCGCAGCTATCAAGCTACCGGCCCATCTCCAACCTCCCCTTCCTGTCCAAGGTCCTGGAACGAGTTGTCGCCTCCCAGCTGCGCTCTTTCCTCTCCAACCATTCACTATTCGAACCCCTTCAGTCCGGTTTCCGTGCTGCCCATAGCACAGAAACTGCCCTGGTCAAGGTCACCAATGACATCCTGACCATCTGTGACCAGGGCTCCCTCTGCCTCCTCGTCCTCCTCGACCTATCAGCAGCATTCGATACGGTCGACCATGCTATCCTCCTCCACCGCTTGTCCTCCCACCTAAACCTTCAAGGCCCTGTCCTTGAGTGGTTTAGGTCGTACCTCTCCCACCGTCTTCACTTTGTCTCCACAAATGGTTTTTCCTCCGGCCCCCGCACTGTCTCATGCGGTGTCCCTCAAGGCTCTGTCCTCGGTCCCCTCCTCTTCACCCTCTATATGCTCCCCCTTGGTGACATCATCCGCAGACATGGGGTTAACTTCCACATGTATGCGGATGACACCCAACTCTACCTTTCCTCCTCTACCCTCAACTCCACGACCACCGATGTCCTGACAGCCTGCCTGTCCGACATCGAGTCCTGGACGAGAGATAACTTTCTCCAGCTCAACGTGCACAAAACTGAGGCCCTCCTGATTGGCTCATGTCAGCGCCTCCGCACCTCAGGCGCTGACAGCATCAGCATCCAAGGCTGCACTCTCCACCTCTCAAAGCCAGTCACGAACCTCGGGGTTCTGTTCGACCGAGTTGTCCTTTCTCCCTCATATCCGCGCCACAACTGGCACCACCTTCCATCACCTCCGGAATGTCGCCAGACTACGGCACTACCTCACCCCTCACGCTGCTGAAACTCTGGTCCACGCCTTTGTCACCTCAAGGCTGGACTATGGGAACTCTCTCCTCGCCGGCCTTCCCGCCACCTCCCTCCACAAGCTGCATGTTATTCATAACTCTGCAGCTCGTGTACTGTCCCGCACCAGGCTTCGGGACCACATCACTCCCACCCTCGCTCGCCTCCACTGGCTCCCCATCCCCCAGAGGATTGATTTCAAGATCCTCATCCTCACCTACAAGGCCATTCACGGCCTTGCTCCCTCCTACCTCTCAGACCTACTATCCCCCTACCTACCTGCCCGTACCCTCCGTTCCTCTGGCTCCGGTCTGCTCCACATCCCCCGCCCCAACCGCCCTACCATCGGTGGCCGGGCCTTCAGCCTCTCAGCCCCTAGGCTCTGGAACTCCATCCCCCAGTGCCTTCGCCTTGCCTCCTCCCTTTTCTCCTTGAAGGCCGGTCTCAAGACCTTTCTCTTTGACCGTGCCTTCAGCTCCCCTCTCGACTCTCTAGCCCTACTTGCTCCCTCCCTTCCCTCCCCTCACCCTGACCATTTCCCCCCTGCTCGGGTCCTGACCTGACTGTGCAGCGCCTTGGGACGTCCTCCCGACGTGAAAGACGCTCAATAAATGGAATCTTGTTGTTGTTCTTGTTGTTGTCGGAGGGGGCAAGGCCATGGATGGCATTAAAGGTGAGGACAAAGATCTTGAACTCGATCCTCTGGGGAATGGGGAACCAGTGGAGTCCTGGTGTGTGAGAGTACATGAGCTACAGAGTTTTGGATGATCTGCTGCTTCTGAAGGGAAGAGTTGTTGGGGAGGGAGTTCCCGTAATCGAGCGTTGATGTGATGAATGCGTGGGTAATGGTTTCAGCAGCCTGAGGGGTGAGGCAGTGGTGGAGTCTGGCAATGTTGCAGAGGTGGTGGTAGGCAGTGCCGGTCATGGCGCGAATGTGGGGGAGAAAGCAGGGTCAAACAAGATACCCAGGTTCCTGACTGGCTTAGTGAGGTTGAGTGTGCAGCCGTGGAGGCTGATGCTGCCAGCGCCTGAGGTGCGGAGGCGCTGGCGCAAGCCAATCAGGAGGGCCTCGGTCTTGCTGACATTGAGTTGGAGAAAGTTAGCCCTCGTCCAGGACTTGATGTTGGACAGGCAGTCGGTCAGGACGCCAGTAGTCCTGGAGTTCAGGGTGGAGGCAGCGAGGTAGAGTTGGGTGTCATCCCCATACATGTGGAAATTCACCCCATGTCTACGGATGATGTCACCAAGAGGGAGCATGTAGAGGGTGAAGAAGAGGAGACCGAGGGCAGAGCCCTGAGGAGCACCACACAAGACGGTGCGGGGGCTTGAGGAGAAGCTGTTTTGCTGCAATGAAGTGGAGGCGGTGTGAAAGGTAGGACCTGAACCAGTCAAGGACAGAACCTTGAAGGTTGAGGTGGGAGGAAAGGCAGTGGAGGAGGATTGAGTGGTCCACGGTGGCAAAGGCAGTGGAGAGGTCGAGGAGGACGAGGAGGCAGAGGGAGCCCTGGTCACACTTGGTCAGGATGTCGTTTGTGACCCTGACCAGAGCAATTTCCTTGCTCAGCAGGTCAGGCAGCATCTATGGAGAAAAGAAAGTGAGTCAACATTTCAGGTACACAACCCTATGTCAGAATTGGTGCATGTTGGGAAAGAGAGGCTTTTAAGGATTAACAGAGAGGGGGGAGGCAGGGCAAGGAAGACAAAGGTAAAAATTGGGTAGAGGACAGGGGATGATAAGTTAAAGAGATGTTAATGATGCAAAATAAAGGGGGTGGTGGGGGGTGGGGAATTGCAACAAAACAGGCAGACCAGAGAGAGAAAAGGTTTGTCTGGGATCCAGATGATGTGGTAATGGTCACAGAAGAGGGGGAGGGGGAAGGTGAGCTGTTATGGTCTGAAATTATTTAAATCAATATTGAGGCCAGAGGGCTGTAAGGTCCCTAGCAGATAAATGAGGTGCTGTTCCTCAAGCTTGCGCTGTGGTTCATTGGAACCTCATAGGAGACTCTGAATGGAGAGGTCAGAGTGTGAGTGGGAGGGAGAATTGAATTGGCAAGAAACTGAAAGCTCAGGCTTGTGCTTGAGGACAGAATGGAGATGTTCATCAAATTGGTCACCCAATCTGCGTTTGGTCTCCCCAGTGCAGAAGAGACCACATCGTGAGCATGCGTTGGTGGTAGTACATGTAAATTGCTGTCTCACTTGAAACCTGTGTTTGGAGCCCTGGACAGTGGTATGGGAGGTGAAAGGGTAGATGTGCATCTCCTGCACTGGCATTGGAAGGTGCGATGGGAAGGAGAGCAACTGTTGGTGGTGATGGAGGAATGAGTCACAGAGGGAATGGTCCCTTTGGAATGCTGAGAGGGGAGGGGAAGGAAAGATATGTTTGGTGGTTGGATCATGCTGGAGGTGCCGGAAATGGCGGAGAATTATTTGTTGGATGTTGAGGCTGGTGGGATGGAAGGTGAGGACTTGGGGGACCCTATCACGGTTTTGGGAAGAGGGAGAAGGGGTGAGGGCAGATGTGCAGGAAATAGGGCGGACACAGATAAGGGTTCTACCTACTACAGTGGGTGGGAATCCTTGGTCCAGGAAAAAGGAAGGTATTTCAGTTGCTCTGGTGTGAAAGGTGGCATTGTCAGAGCAGATACGGTGGAGGTGGAAGAACCGGGAAAAGGGAATGGAGTCTTCACAGGAGGCGGGGTGGGAGGAGGTGTATTCCAGGTAACTGTGGGAATTGATGGGCTTGTAAAAGATATCTGTTGATAATCTATGCCCCGAGATGCAAATGGTGAAGTTGAGGAAGGGAAGGGAAAAGTCGAAGATGGACTATGTGAATGTTATGGAGGGGTGGAAGGTGAAAGCAAATATGAAGTAGACGTTTTTTATATTGAACAAGTAGTCTGCAGCATCCATTGTAAAATCTAACAGATAGGTTACATTTTTGTGGAGGTTTCTGTGACCTAAAAGCCTGTACCATGGCTTGATTTAATCTTGGAGAGTGTATAGTGAAAGATGACTATTGTGACAGTTGGAAATAAGCAATGACTTACGAGGAGAGGATGAAGAAGCTAGGAATGTCCACACTGAAGAAGAAAAGGCTCAGGGAGATCTTATCCATAATCCAAAAGGGTAGAAATAACCTGTACCCAATGGTCAAAAATCTAGGATAAGGGGACATAGACTGAAGTTCAGAAGAGGGCAGTTTAGATTGAACTACTCTGTAGAATTGGTGACAAATATTTGGAGTCAATAAGCCAGGGTGGCAAATTTCATCAGCAAATTACTTCAGCAGATTCAAGACGGAATTAGATAGCAATTTGGTAAAGCATATATTGACGGGTGTGAGTGATATTGCCATGTAGGATTGTGATTGCAATAGAACTGGCTGTTTGAACCACAATATTTGTATGGTCCCTTATATGCCTATGCTCTTGTACAACTTTGCTTTCATTGTGAAAATCCATTCTGTGCCAGAGATAGTTTTCTACAATATTGATGAGATGTGGTTGAGCTGTCAGTTCTTTGCAAGGTTATGACTGGACTGGAGCAGCTCTACAAACAAAGCTGGCTCTTCAGCCAAACCTCCATGTCCATGCCGAGAATACCAGAGCTGCTGCAAATGAATCTCAATATTTCATACCAATTTAAAACGTCCAGATGGAAGCAGTGATGCAACATCATGTTTCGCCCACAAATATACGGTCAATTCACTTTACAGCATATTCTGTGAAGCGCTTTGAGATGTCTAGAAGACGTGAAAAGCGCTATATCAAATGCAAGGATTATTATTATTATTATTATTATTATTATTATTATAGCTAGTTATTACACACATTTCATTCCCACTACAGGAAAGAAAAAGTATGCTTCTGGACTCCCAGAGAGGACTGGAGAGGGCTGACCCATACCAGTGAAGGGGAGAGTTAAGGCAGTTTGTGGAGCAAATTACAAGTGAAATCCTGAGTGGTCACATATTTGTACATAATTTCCATAGAAAATGTTCATGCTGCCTTCCGTGCCTGCAATAACTCTCCTCAACATCAGCAAATGATCATTAGGAGCGCATAAATCACTGGATTTATCTGCTGGCTGTTGCGGCTGTCGTTGATCTGGAAGAAGAGGAATGATTACACAAATTAGTTAGGAAGAAGACACTTCATCCCATTTGATTTTGTGCTTCCAGACCACCTATCCTAGCATTCTCCAATTACCATGGGCGGTAGATGAAAATATTATTTTGGTGAGTTGAGTCACATTCTGTACGTACATCCTGACTGCACTTTGCTGAACTGTGTGTGTGTCTGTTTGTGTGTCCTGACACTGGATCCAACTCCTGCTCATTCAACTCATCGACTGCTAGACTCACTTTCACTTTACTTCACGGCCTGTGACATACCCCAGAGAGCAGCACCCCTCTTGGGCCACAACAACCCATTAGCTCAAACTGGAGAACATTTTGGGCCCCCTCTAGCCCCAGCCGTTTGCTGCCTATTCCCATCACAACAGCAAACTTTATTTCAAAAAACGAATCCAACATCCTGGCCTCAAAACTCTTCTTGTAACCTATACTCACCTCCCAATGTCAAATGAAATTGCAAGATGAAAAATCACATTTTTATTTCCATCATGTTCTGAAGCATATTAAATGGGGACTTAAACCTAAATGGAAGAGCTGGAAAAGAAATTATTCAAATTGTTATTTAACATTAGTCATTTTGGCATCCAATTAATCATTAAGAAGATCAGTGCTATTAAAAAGTGTTGTATCTACTGGAGAAACAATGGATGCTGTATTTCTGAATAATTACCTCATAGTCTGGCCCTTTCTATTTTTACTTATTCAAAATTGCAATGTGCAAATAAGTATTGGCTCAGAAGTTAATTGGCATATCTCAACAATTGCACCAAAGCTATTGATACAGAATGGCAAAGGCTAATTTTTCAGTCTGAGAGAGAGACATTAATCTAAGCTCGGCTTCTAATTCAAAGTGCTGCATGTTGTCCCACTCAAGCACTCAAGGTGGGAGCCAGTTCGATGCAGGTGGTCTCATTGCTGCAAACCTGTGCTAAATTGCTGCTATTCATTATGTTAACAGGCCGCCTGCATAGATGCCAGGCATGGACATGGGTAAAGAATCCATTCCTGTCATAGAAAGCCATGTCACTGACAAACCCTTAATTACAACATTAATTAATGGTACAATTTCTAACACTCCCTACATCGTAGCCCAGACCTCATTAGTGCCATTTATGAATAATATCTCTTGGTGCATAATACTCTATAAAGTGAAATTTAAAAGAAAAACCATTAGAGCTGTGCAGTGACAGAGCACAAATATCCTGGAGGATTAACTGGCATCTGGATGTTGAGGTGGCGTCTTTTCAATCATCTATTGAACAATGATGTTGACTTTGAAGAATAACAGCAGTGTTCCTGGGTCTGACACTGACACATGCAAATTCATCATTTAATTAATAAATTACGAAGTGTTACCTATCATTCAAGATTCTACATCTTGTAGATTTAAACGTTGCTTGGCCTTTGTCTTCGGGCATTTATTCACTCACTGTGATGTGTTTGAATTTGTGAAGCTCTTTAATCTTCCTGTCCAGTTTTATCCAGTCGATGTGGAGACAATATCTCTTTATGTAAGCTTCCCACTTCATGTTAAAGTAGGTATCGATCGGTTTAGGAAAAGTAAAAGGGAACAAAAAGGGAACAGAACACATATTACACATCTATAGAAAATATTGCTTTGTATCTTAATATCCTCTGACAAAAGATTTTACAGAATAAAAGAAGTATAAAATAGGTGATCATTGTGATATTTAATGGCAAATGCAATGTTTAATGAGGCATAAGCACAATTAAGGTCCGACATGCTGTGTTCCTCAAGGAGTCTCAACTCTTGTTATTAGAACACTGTATCAAGTGGCAATGATGAAATATTTAAAAATGCATCATCTATTTCTCAAGAGCTTATTACTGTGTATGAGTTGCACTCACATTGGTAATAACTTAGTTCGTATTAATTAAATCCTGTTCATATTCATAAATAGGGGAACCCATAAATAATATCTTTATTTTAATTGTTGTTAACAGTATAGCAACATGTAAAGTATAAAGCAAACCTATCCAAACATGCCATTTTTCAATTCTACAATAATGTAGAAACAATTGGTTGTCGTTGAATCACCCTTGAAACTGTGCAATGGTTTATGGAATAACGATGTTTGACCCTGACGCTGAATAACCAGAATGACATCAGCATCAAAGTTGGCACATATGCACACAAAATATCCTTGAGTAACACAAGTTGAAATAATGAATCCTAAATATATATTACACAAAAAGTTTTAAATAAAAATTCAGTTTAAACAACTGGACATGATTTGGAGTTTGGTGAGGTTAGTGTTTTTCCTTGTACATTAAGCAGGCTTGAACGCTAATGATGCTACTGGATCAATTAGAAACATAAACTAAATCTCCTAAGATTTTGATCTCAAATGATCTAAAAGCAAGTAACAGTTAGAAGATGCTCTCTTCAACCGTTCTATTTTATCAGTCATGTCTTCCATATATAATGCTAAGATAAACAGACATCCTGGGAAACAACTTTTTGCCGAGATTTTATTTGAATTAGTACCGCAGATAAATGTAAAGGGCTGATAAGGAGCACTCGGCTAATTTTTCTTGTGAATTTATAAATACTAGAAAAAGTAATCTTTGAATGAATTATTATAGGAGGATATTTAGAAGATGTTACCATCTGTCATCTTTGGAAATAAAACAGCAGAATCTGCAAACAGTAGATAGCAAAATAATTTTCAAATGATTGAAAAGAAGATAGGTTTCAACAGATGTTTATTTCTGACTGGCCATATAAGCCATATTTAAGATTGTGGTCTGAAATGATAGATGTATGAAAGGTTACGGCATCAATGCCCTAATAACGACAACAACAACAACAACAAGATTTCATTTATAGAGCCCCTTTCACGTCGGGAGGACGTCCCAAGGCGCTGTACAGTTGGGTCAGGACCCGAGCAGGGGGAAATGGTCAGGGGGAGGGGAGGGAAGGGAGGGAGCGAGGAGGGGGTAGAGAGTCGAGAGGGGAGCTGAAGGCACGGTCAAAGAGAAAGGTCTTGAGACCGGCCTTGAAGGAGGAAAGGGAGGAGGCAAGGCAAAGGCATTGGGGGTTGGAGTTCCAGAGCCTAGGGGCTGAGAGGCTGAAGGCCCAGCCACTGATGGTAGGGCAGTTGGGGCGGGGGATGTGGAGCAGACCGGAGACAGAGGAACGGAGGGTACAGGCAGGTAAGTAGGGGGAAAGTAGGTCGGAGAGGTAGGAGGGAGCAAGGCCGTGAATGGCCTTGTAGGTGAGGGTGAGGATCTTGAATTCGATCCTCTGGGGGATGGGGAGCAAGTGGAGGCGAGCGAGGGTGGGAGAATAGGAGGAACCAATTAAACTGAAATTAGATCATATTTTTCTTGAGACTATGTGTATAAATAGTTGTGTTATCAATTATAAAACTTTGGTGAGTGCTTTTTAATGCATAAAGTGTTTTATTTGAACAATTTGATTTGAAGGGAAGAGAAACTCTGAATTCTCTAACTGTGATTCTTAATAGATCACTTATTTGCCAAGGAATACTGTGCTTCAATCAAGATTATGCTTGAAGCAAATCAATCCGCCACTGTAGGCAACTTAAGTGTGCCATCCCCTATCTCCTCTCCACCTCCCAGAAGTATGTTTACGTCCCACTGCCTTCCCCCAACGTACAAAGCTGCATCCTCACAAGCCTTGGTCAGTGATTCCTTAAAACGATAACCATATTTCATGTGTCAACCAGGGTTCTGGTAAACATAAGCAAATACAGTGCAAGCCCATTAGAGCAAGATACCTTGAATCGAATAATTAGACACAATACACGCCAGTTCAGCTTCTGACTTTGCAGGTTGCCACCACCGTCTTTGCGAAGTGCCATCAAGTGATGCAGCACAATGGAAATGACATGAACGGTGACCTGACATCACACTATATAATAATAATAATAATAATAATAATCCTTGCATTTGATATAGCGCTTTTCACATCTTCTAGATGTCTCAAAGCGCTTCACGGAATAGACTGTAAAGTGAATTGACTGTATATTTGTGGGCGAAACGCGGCAGCCAATTGCGCACAGCAGTGTCCCACAGACAGTCGTGGATTGAAATGATCAATTTATTATTTTTTATATATATTATATATATATTATATATTTTATATATATGTATATAATAGACTGTGGATTGTTTTATGAATGCTTCAATGTACAAAAATACAGGTTGCTCTAAATCTATCATTATTTTAGTTATATAAAATAAGTGTAATTCAATATCCAGAGAATATGTGTGTTGCTCCATTGTAAAAAAAATATGAATTTTCTGCAATGACTACCATAATCTGCATTTATCTCATCCAAGATGGCAAATTCTAATTTCTAAATACACTACAGTGTTGATAAAAATGTATTTTATCACATACTGCTAGCTCCAGCAACTGTAGAATCACATCATCATACTCAAACAAACAGCATTACTTATTTGTATTATTGTATTACATTAAGTGACATATTTTATGTCAAAAACAGTCACTACACTTTACAGAAAATACACGATAAGATGCTATATCAAATCCAAGGATTGTTAATATAAGTAAAAGTTATACTCAAATGCATCTTGTACTAAATAGCTGAAACAGTCATTTCTTTAACAAGTATACAATGCTTGCCCAGCAGAACACCAGTTGTCAAGGCACTTATTGTATTGAGCAGAGGAAATAAGAAAATTTAAATCTACCTTATGGCTGGATGAAATGCATGTCTTTTTAGACTTAGCATTAACAATTAAGACATGGAGCAATACAATTCTAACACAAACTGTTATTTTTATTTTGTGTTTCTCTTTCTAAAAGGCTGAAAAACTATTTCCACTTAGGCTCCAATTTAACAGAGAATCAGGCAATATCACAACTGGCTACCGACAGCAACTCAAAATACAGGCCAAGTCAGTTGTTATCACTTCACTGCTTCCCAGGAGATTGGAGGCTTAAAAAGGAATGGCTTTTCCAAATTTGTTAGCACCAGGAGAAATATTTCAAGGTAAATTTAAGTTTCCTCTAAGCCTGTTCCATGGCAGTTTTTAACAACACGCAATTCCATTTAGTCCTACAATTTTAATGGCAGTGTAAAAAAAAATGTTTCACTGTTTTCTTTGGAAATGTAACAGACTCCAATTTCTGTCTGCTATAAAAGTAGTTACAGAAATCATGGAGGTATATGATACAATTCATCCATTCATAACCTATTTCTATATCCCTGCAACAATTTAACCAGGTAGCAGGTTTGTAACATTCTGGTTATCTGATTGAATAGCTCAGATTTCTATAGCAATCAGATAATAATCAAAATCTATTCTGCTGAATCAGAAAGCAAATTTCTGTCAAACAGGTCACCCTATTTGCAGGGCACAACACAACATTTTCATCTTAATCTGATCATTTCAAATATTTTGTACTTGTTATATTTGTCAAAACCCATTTTTTTAAATGATGCATTTCTTTATTATTTTAAGTAATTTCCAGGTTAATTTAATTTTCTAAAATGGTGTACACTATCCAGCACCTTGGGATGTCCTCCCAATGTGAAAGGTGCTATACAAATGTAATCTTGCTGTTGTTGTTGTTTTCTGACCATACAATAATATGTCAGCTAAACAGTTTATTATAAACAAATAGCTTTTCTAGAAATATGGTTGAATAGCTCTGGAGAGGGTTCTGTAGCTCAGTGGTTAGAGCACTCACCTCGCAAGCGAGAGATCTGGGTTCGATTCCCGGCAGGTCAAAACCTTGGGCAAGTTTCCATTCTCCACACATCTGATAATAATCCCTCAAGAAAAAAACCCAATAATAAATTAGTCACTTCAATCCACGACTGTTTGTTGGACACTGCTGTGCGCAATTGGCTGCACAAATATACAGTATACAGTTTCGCCCACAAATATACAGTCAATTCACTTTACAGTATATTCTGTGAAGCACTTTGAGATGTCGAGAAGACATGAAAAGTGCGATATCAAATGCAAGGATTATTATTTTACTATTATCATCAATATATATATACATAATATATATGCAACAATATTCTATGGTGAAACATTTATTATTGTTTATTAATTGGGACTACTATTATACTATTAATAATAATAATCTTTTCATTTAGTATAGTGCCTTTTACTTTGGGAGGTTACCCTCCCCCCCCCCCCAAATGCTTCACAGGATATACTGTAAAGTGTAGTAACTGTGTTTTGTGGGTGAACATAGCAGCCAATTTCCGACAATCAGCCAAGTTCTCAAATATAGAGTTGGGGGATTCTACTGCAAAATTACAGATTCAACAGAATCCAGGACTAGGTGTGTGCTGCATTGTTGGAGTTGCCGTCCTTTAGATGGTTCTTCTTGTGTCTTGAGAACAATCTTCCAAGTAAAATTGTTTACGAAGTGTATGATGATTGTATTGGGGGATTGTTGGCTAGGATACCGGGAGAAAAATTTTCTCTTTTCAAATAGTGCCATAGGATCTTTAATGTCCACTTGACTAAGCAGATGAAGCCTTAGTTTTTAATGTCTCACATGAAGGACAGCACCTCCAACAAGGCAACGCCACCAGGCCTGCATTGGAATGTCATCTTAAACTATATGATTTCTAAATCCTGACGTGAGGCTTGAACCCACAATCTTCTGACTCAGAGAACAGGGTGATACCAACTGACACAGCCTGACACAAGGAATGTGAGATTCATAAATATTTATGACAGAAATTACAAAATCTGTATCCAAATTCACTTAACAAATTGAGGAAAATGGGGACCTTGAAGGTGAGTATTTGCTGTTTTGCAGCCAATGGTTTGCCTTCTGATCTTGCCTCAGACTTATCCAGTTCTATTCTCAGCCAAGAAACACCTTGGAAGAAATATGCACAATTGCGATCTAAAGTCACAATAAGCACAGCAATTTCCTGTTTGTGAAATTCCAATTTTCACTTCTATTGTCACTTATGAAGTGAAGCTTGTAAGATACCAGCTTTACTATTTTTTTCAAAATTCTGATTTAGTTTTCTATCCATTGTAACACAATATAATACAATGGTGTGATTTTTAATAAAGCATTCTTCACTATTGCTCTGCTGCATTGGTGCAATAATCAATGGAGACAGAATGTTACAGCCCTATGGGGGTCCCATACCCAGTGCCCAAGCTGAGAACAAAATGTTCCATATGTGCATTGATAAAAAGGTTGTAATCAGGGGTAGAAAATTTTATTATCAACTAGTCAGGGGGGAAATTACTTTCCAGTATTGGTGAAGCTGGGAAAGAAATACACCAATTTGCCGGTAACATTAGCATCTATGTTTCATCATTTTGGATGCTTTTATTGTTTTTTTTGTGCTACTGGTGGCATAACAACAGAGTGGAGCTTTAGATACCAAAATCAATGACAGTTGTTTCACACAATCTAGCTGTTGCTGGGAGCACAGAAAGACTTTGGAGAAATTTCTGCTGCATTTAATCCCTATGAACTTTCACAGCTCTTCACTGCTTCACTGCTCCACTGGATTGATATCCATCTGTACAAAACAATGCAGTTCTTTTTGGTTAAGGGTCAACTAATATCTTATAATTGTGTCTTGTAAAAGTGTCTTATAATGCTGAGTAACATTTAAGATTTTCTTTGAATATTTCCTTTCCCGAATGCTATGAACCCAGTTTCAAGTGGAAGGGCTGTCATTTTTGACATCTCCAGGTATATTCACTAGGTCCATTCATGTTCCAGTTACATTTACTATGATAAATATTAAATGCAACCACTAATTTGACTTCATTGTCTTCATTGAGCAGGAAGAACCTATCTCGATTTTGCTGTTTGCCCATTAAGGTATTTATTAGAGCTATTTTTCTCTTAAACAAGAAGTGATTTTTAAAGCTACATAAAATTATGGGGTAAAATAAATTCAATTCATAAATGATTCAATGTGATAATTATCTCCAGGTGATGATTATCAAACAGCTTATTGACTCACGTCATAATAATTGGCAATAATTATTACATCAAATTAGTTGTGAAATGCTATCATCATTTATTGTGCTTGCTAATATTTTCTTCTCTCCTCTCCTCAAGTTATTTGATTCCTGGGTTCATTCCATTGGGGTGCAGTAACTCACATCAAATGGACATTATTCATATGTGAATTTTGACAGTGAATGTTGATAATCTATTCAACCATGGGATGCATTGCAGTCAAATGCAATTGCATCCTCAAATGCAAACCTCTCCAAGGGTTACTAGATAACGATCATGGGTGGAAAATCTATCTGATTGTTCTCTCCCTGACCGAGAGGCACTGAGGGCAAATGTAGTTCCACTCTGTGAGTCAGTGATTAGAGGGCATCAATTTAAGAAAGTTAGTAAATGAGCAAATGGGGAGCTTAGGAGAGTTTATTTTCACAAACAGAATAGTAAGGATATGGAATGCTCTGCCAGGAATGATGGTTGGGACATAATCCATATTTGCTTTCAAATGAGAACTAGATAAATAAATAAGGAGTTAGCTATGGGAAAAGAGCAGGAAAATGGAACTGAAGCCATTGCTCTGAAAAGAGATATGATGCGTCTCTTCTGTGGTGTAAAATTCTATGGTTCTATAGTGAAACCACAGCTGAGAACATGAATGATACTTGGAACATTCGGCTATGGCTGAGCTATTCATTGAATAAACTCTGCATCATCCAAGGGAGTTAATAATATGATTTGGGGTACTCTCAACTCAGTTCCCAGCAGATTCTGAGATTAAAATAAGTAATTTTGTAGGATACAGAAATTTAACCTTGCTTCTAATCATTTTGACCTTGGCGTGCTTGATGGTGATTCTGGGTTCCCCAAATTTATGTGTTTCATTCCCCGGCGCTAACATCCTTCCCTTGATAATCTAAAAACAAAAACAGAAGAAAACTTACTCCAGGCAATGCCAATGTGTTTCAAAAAGCATATATATTCTGATGTGTTACAAAACCACCAAAGATGAAACAACCATGCCCGACAAAATATTCTCATTCATATCAATTTTGAATTGAAGGAACCCCTTCATTTATTCAATGCCAGGGGGCTGTACGGATACTGAAAGATGAGTGTTTAGTGAGTTACGTTTCTGGTGCAGGCTGCAAATTCACAGTATCCACAGGTAACCACGGCAGAATCCATATAACTGTCAGATGTACTGTGCAATGACAGAATACGCTTCACAATTCATATTGTGAATATTACAATAGCAAAACCAAACAGCTTGCTTAAGTTTACAATTGGCTGGAAGACTGGAAATGAAAAGGGCTTAAGTCTGGCTATCAATCAAGTCCTGTAATTTTCAAATGAACTTTATATGATGGTGAAAGTGTAGTTTCTTAACCTGAAAGGAATCTAAAAATGCACCGTCATAATGCGTTGCCTCTCCTATAGCACTAGAATATTGGCTGCAGACATCTTCTATATTAATAAAATAAAAATGTCTGTCTGGGTTTCAAGAAGGATCGTTTGATGTAGAGACATTATCTATACTTCATCGGAAAGGTCTTGCATCTAGGAGTGACATGGGCATATTTGTTTTTGGGTATCTCCTATCATTACTGAGCTATTTTCAGCTTTGCGTTTTTCACTGCAGTTATACCTGGTGGCCGCCAAGACAAAATGGCCCTGTGGCTTCTTGCGACACAGAGCACCTACGTATGCATGCACACCATTGCAGTTACACCTGGTGGTTGTGCCAGCTGACCATGGCACTGTGGCATCCCTGGGTCACAGAGCACGCACGTGGCCAAGTGGCAGGAGCAAAATAAAGAACAGAGACGAAGCTAAGCTGTGGCATCAACAACAAAATTACATTTTTAAAGTGTCGAGTCCTCCCACTGTGTCCTCCCAAAAGAAGTCGTCCCACAGGTATCCTCCCAGATGAGTATAGATAAAGATGAAATGTCTGTCTATGTGTCTGTCTGTGTGTCAATCTACATTCCATATTGGATCCTTTGGTTGCAAGCGAAGCTGCAACAGGTACAGCAAGTAATAAATATAATAATGATTGTCTTACATTGTTTGCTACAGTGCTGTAACACATACTTGAGAGAGCCATAGGATTATAATTTGCCTGAGTGCAATATTAATGCACTTTGAAGGGAGCTTCATTCTCACATTCATGAAATCCTCTGAATCGTTTTGTAACACATGATTTAAGACAACTGCATTGTCTTCATAATTACACACCGTTGTACTGTTTAAAAAACACACATAGTTACAGAGTGATTCAATTAACTTGGCATTTTGTTTTCTTAAACATTGTCACATAGTGTAGTTTCTATCAGTGAAAAAGAAAGAACATGTGTAAAATAGCTGAGGTTTTATTTTTAAACAGTATTGCAGTATTGTTAGTCAATATAGCTAACTAGAACAAAAGTCTATAGTGTGTAGAGATCTGGGGCATCTCAGTGGATCCTTGACAGGACCTGGCATAAAGCATGAGGTGGTGCAAAGCAATGTATTAACCTCTGATCCGATTGATTGGTATTGTGCAGAGGCAACAATATTGGAATGTTTTAATTTAAATATACCTCATTACAGAAATGGGAGCCAAACTATCTTATCTACGTAATTGATTTTGTACTGCCAACAGAGGGAACAAAGCATATCACTGAACACTTTGTTGTTCATAAGCAGGATTGACAGGTTTCAAGCAAGATCTGAAAGTCTTAACCTTTTGGGCTTGCAGCTAACTTCCGTGCATTGTTGATATAG